ATTAATTTAATAATATTTTTATTCCCCTATCATTATTCTTATTTTAAACAAGGTATCTTCTAGATTGTGAGATTTTATTTTATTTTATTAAGATGTTTTTTTATTAAGATAATGGTATAACTGTAATTGTGTAATAAAATACATTTTAAGGCTTACGGTCAACAACAAATTCAGTCCATTCACATCATCACTTTTATATCATAGCATTTTCATATCAATTATATGAAAAAAAAAAAACTTATTTTGTTAGTTAACATGATACCTCAAAAAATCTAACTGAAAAATTAAAAATGAGTCGAAAAACAAATATTAAAAAAATAAAAAGAGCTTTTCAAAGAATATAATTATAAAAAATAAGTTTTTTAACAAAGTATTGCGATTGATGTCTTAGCCAATGGAAACATAAGATAAGGATTTGTTGCCAGTGGCACAGTGGGCAGAAAAGGCATATTCGGAATGCAGGAGAAAGGGAAATGCTCTCTTCCCCATTTTCTCAATTAGACAAAAGTAGTTTTTTATTTTTATTTTTAAATTTATGGCACTAATAAAAGACGAGTTGGCTAGTCGCACAATGAGAGTAAAAGCTATTCCAAATCCATCTTTGCCTAACCTCTCAATCAATAATTAAAAACAAATGGGTAAATCAGAAAGAGAGGTTCTGTTGAGAACAAAAGAAAGGTTATCTTCCCCTTTATCGAACGGACAGAAACGCGTTAATAAGAGACTAAAAATAAAATCTCACTTTGACCCTTAACTTTTGTATAGGGTCTTTTTTCCGTTTTTTTAACATATAAAATTTCTTTTTAATTTTTAAAATTTATTTTTTTTCAACGCTTTTTATCCCTTTGTCAGTTAAATAATAACATGACACTTTTGCTCCACTAACTCTACTTTAAATTTAAATTAAATTGTTGACATGAAAAATAAACCCAAAAATTGAGTCTGACTTGGAATAAAAATGATAACATGTACAATTGGATACACTTAAACAAATTTTAAAAAATGATTTCAGAAAAACTTAGAGTAAAAACGAAAGGACCCACTTTTTAAATACTCCTGTCTTTCTTTAAACAATAAAACTTAGAGAAAAAAAAAACTTCAAAAAAGAAGAAGTAAAGAGATAAAGTGAAAGGTTGTCATCGTCCTCTCGCCTTCTCCACCTCAACCTCTCTCCAATAGTATGAAAACATAAAAAATAAAAAGAAAATTTCAAATTAACAACATTTAACATACTCATTCTATTAATAAAAGAATTTTTTCTTTCTTTTAAGATGAATTTTTATAACAAAATTTGGGTTAGATTTCGATATGAAAATCATGAGGAATGGACCCTAGAGATTCATTGTTGCGAAGCTTTCTACTTGCTTTTGATATTTTAGTTTGAGAGTCCGCTGTCTTGCCATTAAATTATTTTAAACAGTAAATTAAAAAAA